AATTATAATATAAATATTTTGTTTTACTCTTGTTCAAGTGAAAACCTTTTGACTCTAATGTCTTCCTTCATAACTCGAGTTTATAATTTATCACTTCTCTTATGTTTGCAATAAGAATTATATCATACGTAAAAAGCATGCATTTGGAAATTTCTTCTTGAATATGCTCAATCAAAACATCTAACACTAGATCAAATAAATAAGGACTCAAAGATGATCCTTTGTGCAATTCAATCTTTATAGGAAAATCTTTTGTTTCACTACCAAGTGTTCTTATAATAGTTGTTGCCCCCTCATACATATCTTTATAGCTCAAATATAAGCAACCCAGACATCCTTCTCTTCCAAAGTCTTCCAAAGTATTTTTCTCGGTACACGATTATAAGCTTTTTTTAAATCAATGAAAACTATATGTAAATACCTTTACATCAATACTTTTTCATTAATCCCCTTAATAGATAAATCACTTCTATAGTCACTCTCCCTAGCATGAAGCCAAACTTATTCTCCAAAATTTTAGTTTTCAATCTCAACCTATGCTCAATCACTCTCCCTAGCATGATGGTAATATAGCCATGCGATGGAGATTTGAGAAAAATGGGAACTTCTCTATCAAGTTTGCTTACTCTCTTATCTAAAAAGATGATGCACCTTCATCCTCAACTTGGAGTAAGATTTGGAAAGCTAAAGTTCCCCAATAGTATAAGACATTTATGTGGCTGACATTTCATGAACGTCTTTTGACTAATGATGTAAGGTGTAGGAGGAGGATGAGTAATGATGCTAACTGCTCGGGTTGTAACATTAGAGTTAAAGATCTTATTCATGTTCTATGTGACTGCCTAGATGCTCAGGATCTTTAGAGGAGGAATGTTCGTATTGAATATGCAGAGAAGTTCTTTAGCCTTGGCCTGAAGGATCGGTGGAGGTAGAATTTGAACAGATTGGGATTATGAGAGGAGATTGGAGTTGCTGTTTTATTGTTATGTGTTAGTTGTTACGGAAGAGAAGGAATGAAAGAATTTTCAGGCTGAGATTACTCCTATAGCGACTGTGGCCAGTCATGCTACAGGAATTACGAGATGTATTAAAAGAGCTTATTGTAAAATGTAAACTGAAGCCAACGCTTTTTGGAGTTAGTAACCAAGTGCAGAACCTGACGAGTACTTGTGCTAATCACAATCTCTACCATTTGTATGCTGATGGGGCTTTTTTAGAAATTTCAGGGAGTGCTGGTTGTGGTGGTATTTTAAAAAATGCTAACGACAGGACTGCGAATGCCTTTATGTTTGGGCTATCAAGTAGGGATGCCTTTGACGCTGAAACGTGGAGTTGTCTTACTGGTCTGAGGTTTGCTTGGGAGAAGGGAGTCCAGAATTGTGTGCTTTATAGTGATTGTGCTGATCTGGTTGTTGCTATTACTAGTGGAGACGTGAAGAGACATGAACGAACATATGAATTAGCTGAAATCAAGTCCCTGTTGTCCCGTGCATGGAGAGTTGATGTTAGGCTAATTCCAAGAGCTCATAATGTTGAAGCTGATCAATATGCTAAGAGAGCACTTACAGCTGCTACTGGCTTTCATTTAATCCTTCCTGGGGATCCATGCAATGCGGCGAATTTGAGGCCTCCTTGATGTTGCCTCTTAGTTTCATTTTACTTTTTGTTTTAGCTTTTTTAATCATTTCCTTTTGTATCCAAAAAAAAAGTAAAATGGACTGTGTGAAGGTCTCTCTCCTTTGAATTCTATTCCCCGAGTTATTCTTCCATTCCCTCCCTGTTATTTCTTCCTCTACTGTTCTTGCTTTGTTTTTGGATTATAACCGAGTGCTTGGAACTCAAAGAATTTGAATCAAGATTCAATCTAAGGTGATCAAATTGTGTGCTAAGTATATTTTCATGTGCAGATACATAACATAGATTTTCTCCAATTCTGACTGTGGTATGTAATAAATTTAATATCATGATCGTGGATTGGCTAATGTAATTTAAGTGAATTCTTTGGCTAATGCAAGATCAAACTACGAAGGGACGAGCAGATGGCCATGTCTCTTTTAGACAAAGCTAGCGCTTCGAAATGGATGAAAAATTCTTTATGCACTAATATGACAATGAACTACCTATTGTGTTTACTAAAGTACGTTCCATTAATATATGATTTACGCATTTTGGATTTCAAGATTGACAAAGTATATAGTAACTCGACACGAATTGGGTTCTTGAGAGTGCTCTTTCCTTTATGTACTAGTTCATTCATGTCGATGCTTGTAATGACTGATTAATTACCCCGAATCATTACCGTCATAATAGATAAGTACAAGACCTCCCTCCTTTGCCTTACTTGAAACCATGATTGAACTCTATAATTCTAGTATTTGATCTGAACAGTAAAAGTTTGTTGTACTAATCCAATGTGAGAATGTTAGGATTTAACTTCTATATACCACGGGTCACTATTAAGTTATCTGTATGGTTATTAATCACGCGTCCTGTTAGTGTAAGTTGTAACTGTTTCTATCCAGTGAATGTACTTGTATTACTATAAATGGTACATTGCAGGTTCTCAGTTCATTAACTGATTGAGCCATTTCTCCCTCCCTTATATTCTCTGACTAAGAGTATGACCACCACCAGGGACTTTGTCAAGAAAATAAGGTCTCTTTTGCTTCTGGTCCTGATCTGCTTGTTGATTGGAGCAGTACCAACTTAGAGAGACTTTGGTGGGGCAATCAAGTGCATGTGACATTTAGAGAAGTAAGATAATGTTGAACAACAAAAGATAACTGCAGGATCCACTAATAATCTCTTGGTGTGCTTGTGAAATCCAAGGATGAGCTTCCCATTTCATGAACACCACTGCTTCATTCAATCTTTCATATTGAAAGCTCCTTAGTAACTTGTGACACATGCTTGAAATATAATACTTAAAACAGGTTGATAGTTGATACAAGTGAAAGTTGGCAATACTGTCGAAATGCAAGCTTTAAGAAAGTTCAGTAGTTAATTACTGCTTAGAAAAAAAAACATTGTGCAGAAATACTTCTTCACCATCTTAAATATACCCTCTTTCAGACTGATGTTCTTGGCACTAATCGATATTCTCTTAGTTGACTAGTTGTCTTGTTCAAACTCTGACTTTAGCTTCTTGTTCCTTTTGCCTCATTTGACATATACAATGAATTGATTCTGATTAAACATAGAAATATCACTCTCCTACATTTAACTCTTACTTCAGTTTGATGTTTATGGCTAATTGCCTGTTTGGATTGAGGACTTGATTGATTTTAGGGGCAAAAAAATTGATTGAGCCATAATTTACCCAAACACCCACTTTTTTCCAAAATCAATTTTTTCCCAATTGTGACACAACGCGCCAAATCTCAGCTTCTCCACTTTTGCGTGTTTTTATTATAAAGTTATATGAGTAAATTACATAAAAAGTCCAAGAAAAAAATCACAAAAAGGCACAAAATTTAATAAAACTAAAACAAAACTTTTTTCTCTTCTTTTTTTTCTTAATAAAATTTGAATCTTTAAAAAAATTATTAGCATGAGTATTCAAATAGATTGCGTTTTAACACAATCAATTATGATTAAAATTTACCACTTAATTAATTATTTTCATAATCTATTATACCCAACTGAAATTTAAACAAATCTTAAAATAGCAATTATTGAAATGTAAGCTTTTAGAAAGTTCACTTACTATTAATTAAAAAATGCTAAAAGCTTGTTTGGTTTGGCTTTGGAAGGACCAAACCCAAAAGCTGCGGGTTGGAAACTTATATTTCTTGTTTAGAAAAAAATAGGCTCAAACGGCTTTTGGTTCCAAAACCATGGTTAATTTTAAAGCTATCTTTTCTTGCTTTTGATCTCGAAATACGATTTTTTTCACCGTTTCATTATAAAACAGACTTTTAAAAAAAAGTTCTAAACACAAATCATAGGAACTGACTTTTCTCCTGTTTCAATTTGCAAACTATAATATGCAAAAATTTCAGTTTTTCAAGCTCTAATTCAAATACACTCTAATATCTTATGGCTGCCAGTAACTTCAGCTGGTAAATAATCTAAAAAACTGTACTTGATTTGCTTACAAAACTGGCTCATCTCGTTGCATTACACAATACAAGGGGGTTTTGAAATATTTAGAATGAATAAATAAATAAAATATTTTAGTTGTGCAGAGTTCAGTAAAATATCAGAACATATGAATAAACTTGTAATATACACACACATATGTGCGCATGTTAAAAATAGAATAGTCATGATTCGAAAACAAAATGTTTACAGGAGATTTTCAATTGTAGCTTTCCTCAAAATATATATATAGAGAGAGAGAGAGAGAGAATGAATACACCATAAATTAGAGCTAAAAATTTAGATAAGTTGGGCTTATTTAGACTTGAATAAGTTTGACTCGAACAAGTTTGACTCTCTAAAAAAATTCAAATAGTTAAACCTGACTTAAATTTTTTTAAATTTTGATGGCTTGAACATAAATAATATTTTTTTTTTAAAATTCAACCCTAAATTTTTTTGGATGGATTCGTGTGGCCTTGGCCAAATTATGTGTGTGTTTGAATTAAAAAATTTATAATTGAAGTTAGCAAATTAAAATTAAAAAAAAAGTTAGTGAATATAATGTGATTTATATTTGAATATTTTTTTAAAATTTAGTTAGATAAATTAAAATTTGATTGGATAATTTAATTCAAAAAAATTGAGATTTTTAATGACAAAAATAAACATAAATTTTTTATATATTTTTTAACTAATTAATAATTAAAAGATATTAAATTTAAAATTATAATTAATAAGTAAAAAATTTTAAATATTTAAGATAGTATTGAAAAAATATAAACCAACAGATCAACACAAAAGCCAACGTAAATACAAAAATTAGAAACCTTAACTTCAATAAAAAAGCTCGTTCAGCTCTAACTTAAGTTACAATTTTTTTGTAATCCAAATACAATTCTTAAAACTTCCCTTATTTTAACCTCTGTTGTAAAGTACTCCAAACATGCTCTACCAGCTCCACCACAAACGCCGCAAGAAAAGTAAAGTTCTTTGCCATTGTCTAGACTAATCTTTCTCTCATGTTCAGATGAATAATTCTTCTGCCTTCCTGTATGGGACACTTTCTTCGCTTCCTCTTTCTTCTCATCATCCTTGCATTATCTTTCCTCTCAGGTAATCAACACAAATTTCACCGACTGCCCAAATCATCCCTTTCAGTCTTCTTGTTTCATAACTTTCTTATTTCTATTTTATCTCGTCTTGCTCATCATTTGTCGTTTCTGTTAATTTCAGAGGTGCAATCGGCATCATTCAAGATTGTGAATAAGTGTCGCCACACGATTTGGCCGGGCTTGCTTTCTGGCGCCACTTCCCCACAGCCTCCCACCACTGGATTCGCTCTTCAAAGTGGCAAGTCAAAGACTATAAACATCCCGAAATCTTGGTCGGGTCGGATATGGGCTCGGTCCCTTTGTGGTCGTGATTCTGACGGAAAGTTCTCCTGCCTCACTGCAGACTGCGGCTCTGGTCAAGTAGAGTGCACCGGCGGAGCTAAGCCGCCCGCGACGTTGGCTGAGTTCACTCTCAATGGCGCCGACGGGTTAGATTTCTACGACGTAAGCTTGGTCGACGGCTACAACCTGCCGATGCTGATCGTTGCGAAAGGTGGAAAACGGGGTGGATGTAGCGCCACCGGGTGTTTGGTAGACCTGAACGGAGCGTGCCCGGCCGATCTTAGGGTGGCGCGTGGTAATGGGACCGGGACTGGTGGTGAAGGCGTGGCCTGCAGAAGCGCGTGTGAGGCTTTTGGCGATCCGCAGTATTGTTGCAGTGAGGCGTACTCCACACCCGACACGTGTCATCCGTCAGTATATTCGGAATTCTTCAAGCATGCTTGCCCGCGCGCGTATAGCTACGCTTACGATGACAAGACAAGCACATATACGTGTGCTTCTGCTGACTACTTGATCATTTTCTGCCCCTTGCCCTACACCAGGTACAATTATTAATTTATTGTTCCATAACCATAAGGCAAATATGGCATATCATTGTTACATTAAACTTGTGTATGATTCGGGAAGACGACATATAATCCAGATAATATATTGCTGGCAAAAGAAGACTAATACATTAATGCTTGAACATTTCTTTTTCTCTTTTAACTTTCAAACACGCGATAGTGATTGGTTTTTCCGGCCAGACAAAATAATAGATGGTTTTAAAGCCTTAGGCAGTGGAACATGTTTTTGCATACAACTCAAGAAATAAATTGACGGCCAATAATTTTTTTTTAATGAATAAACATTGAGTAGGGATAGAATGGGCTATTCTATCAAATCTCAATTGTGCTATTTTTATTTCAGATGATGGCTCTATTCATTACACAATTAAAAACTTTAATCTAAATTATATCATTTTGTGTAGTATAGTTATCTGAAACTTGATATACTATCTGGAAAGCAACTATCAGAATTCTCAATTTGTATGTAATGTATTGATAACCACATCGTGTAAACTCGGAGGTATCCGTGTCCTTGAACAACATTCTTGCTTCCACCTTGTGTCAAATTAGTCTGTCACATAATTGAATGTTGCCTAAGGGATGTCATAAAATGGAGGTTAGCGTTGGGGTTGTGCTGCCCTTGAATTACATTTTGGCCTGTTGGCTGTTGCTCATGCTGCCCCTAGTGTCACATGTTTTTTCACTCTTGCCTTACTGAACAATAATAGTTTTCATGGTTGTAACGGAGGTGGGGGGCCGGATGCCTGATTAGTGCCCTTTGTGGTGCTATACTAGATAAACTGAACAATGAACTTGTCGTTATTTTCACGAGCCCGTTCCATGATATTCTCTGGTCTAATTTGTTTTCCATGCGTGATCGTTTTGTTTCAGACGTGACTTATTATCAATGTGATAGACTAATAACAGACTCAGCTATGTGAACTTTTTAGTTTTAGATAAGGTAGCAGGGGTTCTGGTTTCTAAACAAGGGATAAAGGAGTTTGCACATCCGAGGTTGTAAACCATGGAGCCAAAGTTTTGTGCAGTTGATTGGTTGGTGTTAGGAATAAAATGAACTCTTGCTTGTCAATTACTATATTCCAAATGGAATCTCAGGTTTTCACCCTTCACAAAGAATGAGAATAGTTTTCATTCAAAGGCATAGTAAAATCAAGCAACACCTCACAAAATTCAATCAAAATCTTTCAAACTACAGTGGGTACGGATTGGTGTGAAGCTATGTATTTTAACTAGTTAGGTCAAGTGGAAAAGACTGGATACCTCTTAATCAAAGTTGTGAGTTTGAACGACATTATGAAAGCTACTCCCTGTTTGGACGCAGCAATATTTAAATCCAGAATAGTCAATGGCCTAGATAGTTGTTACACACTCAAAATTCTCTTCCCGTGTTCTAGCGAACTGTTGATTAACTATAACAAGAGCATGCCTCCTTGAATTCTCACAAACACACACACATGCCTCTTTTAACTCAGTTTTGAAACTCCTTCCCTTGTAGAGTTTGAATTTTCCTTCTGCTCTTGCTTATAATGAACGTAGACATCTATGTTGTATATTGCATAAATGGTGTGATATAGCATTTGTGCTTGGCCACTTATTACTATTTTATAACGTGCATATGTATCCTGTATTGGGTTGATGTCGAGCAGCCAAAAGTTGCTGGGAACACGAAAAGATGGCGCAACACTTCCTCTTGTAAACAAGACCATGATGTACTTAAAGCATTCAGGAGTTTCTTCATCAAAAGGTCTGAATCAAAAGCAGATTATGGCTTACATTGTCTCTCTTGCAGCATCATCTTTCCTGTTTTACTCTCCTTTTCACCTATCATGACTCATTGGCTTTGACGCTTGAAGCAGATAGCTAAACGAAAGTAGATGAGTTGCATCTAAGCTGAATCTGTAGGAGGTCTTCATTTTGTTTAGTGCCTTTCTGCTTCCTAATTTTGCATTAATGTTTCATACGATTAGAAGTCTGCTGATTCTTAACATCATGCAGGACTGCAAGAATACTGTATGGGGGTATACTGTAAATACATTTTTTTCCTTTTTTTTTTTTTGCCCCTTTTGTATAATGTACATCAAACTTTTTAGAAGCTTCTTTGGGCTGATTGTTGAATTCTTAGTTTACTAGAAGAGGCATTGGCAAGTTGTAAAGTATTGGTTGGGTATTTCTGTGTCTGGAATCAGATTTTGGGAGACGGAGTTAGTTTAGTATTCTTGATATAGCATGTGCCAATATATGTTCAAATTTGTGATTGTCACCGCTCCACGCAATCAGCCAATGTGCATGTGATCCTCCAGTTTACTCATAAAACCATCCTTTCGCCTCTGGACCATCAATCAACATTCTAGGGGCCTATCATCTATTGCTCTTCCTTTTCAGATTCATGTATGTAAAACCCCACTTGAGTCTTAAAGCCATCTTATTTTTCTTTCTTTAACCATGCGGGCAAAATTTTAGTTTTCCCTCCACTTTTTCCCTCCCAATTTTTTTTCTTGTCAAACATAATGACAAGATAATTCCCTACAATCCAGGGATATACTGAATTCACAATAATTTAATTGATATGTTTACTTCACTAATGAACGGCACAGAATTTCCTGTTAAATTTTTAATTTTTTTTACTTTAGTATTTTAAAAATATTTTAAGTATTAATCTTAAACGGGTAATGATCGTATGAGAAGATAAAGGTTAAAAAGTTAACGCATATTACGAGAATTAACGAACTTAAAGTAAAATGAAACAAAGATGAGGAGCGAAAATATAGCTTAAAATAAAATTAAACAATTAAATTATAACTAAACAAAATTAAATTATTTGAAAAAACATAAAATAACGTTAAAAATAAGAGAAGAGAAAAGTAATACGTCTACTTTTCTACCACCAGAACCATAAGAAATGTCTCATTTTAATCCTTTTCTGTGCGACGAGTCTCAACTCTCCACTGAGCCCCGATGAACTCTTCATTTGGGAAAAAGCACCACACTGTAATAGAGGAGAAGAGAATTTTCATCCAAAAATAGGAGGAGAATTAATTTAGAATTTAATATACCAGTGGAAATTACAAAATAGGGGTCGGCACAATGGGATAGATCGGGACACTCTATTTGCAATTGTAATCTGGTACCTTTGAAGATGTAGAAATGAGAGAATATTTAACAATGTCTTTACTTTATCATTAGCACTTAGAGAGAGAATCTATAACTTTGCTAGAGTAGTGTAGTCAAGCTCAAAGAATATTGTGGGATTGACAGGCATGTTAAGGCCACCGCAAAGCAGTTGGGAGCCTCCTATGAATGATTGGTTCAAGCTTAACATTGATGGTGCTGTGAGAGGCAACCCAAGCAGAGCTAGCTGTGGTGGTATCTTTCACAATGCTAGAGGTCAATGGATGAGAAGTTTTGTTTGTAATTTGAGAACTTATACGGCTAAAGAAGTTGAATTTTGGAACTTCTACCATAGTCTACAGATGGCTCATAGTCTCAATATGACTGAACTTATTATAGATAGTGACACCATGAATGTAATTCATGAGGTCTAGGAGGTGCCGGAGGTTAATGATAGCCATCAGTGGCAGGTATGGCGTGCGAGATTAAACTTCTAATTGAGGATTGGCAAATAAGGGTGAAATATTTGTGTAGAGCAAACAGTAAGCATGCTGATTGAATTGCAAAATATGGTTTGAATCAATGTATTAAGTGTAGAATTTTTCTTGAGCCTCTTAGAGGTTTCATTGAGTGGTTGTATTAAAATAACAGGATCACAGTGATCCCGAATTACTTTTTACTTAAACAATATTATTTTGGGCTTTGCCACATTTATGATTAAAAAAAGAATTTAATATATTAATGGGTAAGTGAGGACTTGAAAGAGAACATTAATACAAGATTTTGAAAGCAACTTAATTTTATAAAAGAATTGTTAACAAGTAAACAATTCACAAGTAAAATTTTTATCTTAACAGGTATCGGATTTTCCTGTACCTTTATCAAATATTAAATTTTTTTTAGAAATCCTTCATTGATGTTTTCTCAATTTTGTTTATTAGACTATATCATGTATGATTAGATGCTTGAATTCAATAACATAATTGAATTGATGCGAATGTTGCAGTCATGTTTCAAACAATTAGCTGGGCATGAGTATGGAAGTAAGGTGTTTTTTTTTTTCCTGGGATAAATTTAAAATTAAGACAACGAAGAATATTAAGTTTACATAAACTTCTATTTTAGTCTCTACACTTCAAATGCTTTTCAATCGCTTCCTAAAAGATAGTGCCGCCTGGGTGGAAGTTAATGTAAACAGTAAACGTTGACCATTTCTTGATCTCATATTTTTATACTCCGGCCCTCCTGCATTTTCTTCTTCTTTTGGGCCGAGGCCTTCCAGCTTGACTGACGGCGTGAGGGAATGCTGAAGTGGCCTACGGGTGACCCAGCCGCGACTCAATCTTCAACTGTTCAATAACGCAGGCCTTCGGGGTCAGAGGTTTGACTTCTGCCATTAATTAACGACTAGTGTAAAGTACAAGCATCTTTCTCCAAACATGCATGAGATTTGGCGAGGACCGTTATTTAAATGGAAATACACACTATTTTATTAATTACTCCTTTTATTAAAAAATATAATATATTTTTTAAAAAATTTATTATTAAAAAATATAAATATTTTTAATTTTTTAAATATAATTATTGTCTTTTTTTAAAGTACCCTTATTAATAATAACTTTATATTTATTGAAAGATATTTGATAGGAATAAGTATGAAAATATAAGATTAATTTAAAAATAAGTAACTACTTTATTAAAAATAAAATTTTTAAAAATATTTTATATTTTCAAAGAGTATAAATCATACACCAAAAAAGTTTTTTTTAAAAATAAATAAAAATCAAATTGCCCTCGCATGTAATTCTAACAAAACGTATCCCTCACCAATGATACTAATATGTTGTTTTTGGGTATTTCTTATTTTTCTTCTTGGGTGGGGGGTTTGGATTATGAGAATGTCGGCTTCTTTAAAATTATTTTTATTCTATTATTTTAAGAACTAGTATTTTATATAAGATTAATATGTAACTTGAATTTAGAATTATAAATTCAGGAACGATTTAAATTTTAAATTTTTAAAATATACATTTTGAATCTGAAATAATTAAAGTTGAAGCAATTTCGTCACACCATTAAATTCAAACAAACATTCATCATTTTTTTTGAAAAAAAATAGGGCTTATTATGCAATTTTGCTTAAATGAAGGTCTAGAAAGAAGGAGAGTAGAATTTGGTTAAAAATTACACATTAAGCCCTAATTTTAAAAAATTAACAACCTTTTATTTAAATTTAATGGTGAAGACAAAATTACCTCAACTTTAATTATTTAGAATTCAAAATATACTTTTTTAAAGTTTAAAGTTTAAATTATTCCTAAACTTATAGTTTAATATTCAAATTATATATTAACGATTTTATATAACATGGTCTGAAAAAAATAATAAAAATATTTATTTTTTACATTCTTTGCCATTATCTAAAATAATAATTCTAGAACACTTAAAGATATTACTATTTTTATATTTTTTATAATAATATTTATTCTTTTTTTTAAAACACTATTTAAAAACACATTATCAAATAGATATTTTTTTATTCTATAAAATAGAAAACTGTTTCAAAAATATGTTGCTAAACAAACCTTTTAAAAAAAAAATATTCTATCTAACCCTTTCCCATAGAGAAGGGGATCCTGCACGCACGCATTTCACACAAACACGGCACACAGCATACAATAGTCCACTACACACAAGATTTTGGTCCCTTCTTAATCGCTTAGGAGTTTGATTCTTTACATGAGTGGTTGCCATTAGACCAAAGGTCATTCACGGTTTAGGAGATTGTTTGGTTTGCAGGGAAGATGTAAAGAAAAAAGAGAATACCATAGGCAATTTACTATATGTTATAGTTGGTAAAAAAATAATAATTTATTTTATCAACAATAAATATATAAATTTAACCACCTATTATTATTTTAAGAGTATTTGATAGCTTAAATTATCAGATAATACAAAATAAAATTTAAAATTTAAATTACATCAAATTGATTTCTAAATTTATATAATATAAAAAAATACTTTTAAAAGTGTAGCATATGATAAAACATTTTTTTTTTGGCAATATTACAGTCAAATTGCCTAGTTATGAAGTTGAAACTTGAAACACTAAAGTAACGTGGTTAAAATTTGGAGGGAGTCGAGGCTTGAAAAAAGAAGAGAGAAGTATGGGCATGGGTTCTCTCTTCTTTCTTTCCTCCCTCTTTCATTTTTTTTTCTTTTCTAGCCATTAAATTAAGATTTAAATAATTTAAATTTAATATCCTATAAAATTATTATTAAAATATTAAATTATAAAAATATAAATAATAAAATTTCAAACTCCTAAAATTTAATAAGAAAAATTTAAAAATACATTAAAATGAAATGTTTTAAAAAAAATAAAATTTGAATTATCAAAAAACATAATTTAATGATTAAAAATTAAAAAAAGGATGGAAAGGAAGAGGAGAGCATCATGTCGCATAAGGGTAGCAGAATCCAACGCGAGATGAGACACAAACAGGCATACGTGGCGTAACAAGAACGGTGATCAAAATCTGACATGTTGAACAAGACGTGGTGCACGGGCCCCATCATCGCCCTCTCCTTCCTTCTCTGTTTCTCGGCTCTCCTCTCCCAAGGGGTCCGGCGTTCGAACCGCTTCTCATTGGATTCTTTCACTTTTCAATTATTGTTATTATCTGATAACTTAAGTATTTGGCTCCGTAATTAACATAAATATAAATCATGTGACTTTATCTCTAAAATATTGTACTAGCTCTATTCAGGAGCATACAGGGATAAATTTTTAGTGAGATTCGTTACTGCTGTAAATATATGGAGGAACCTCCAAACAACAGCCCTTTCTTGAATACAAAAACTATTTTATAGAAACAAACACATTCGAAACCACATATATAATTTAATTATTAATAAATTTTATAATAATTAATTCTTTTTTTATGAAACTTTAACATAATTTTTTCAATATTATTATGGATTCAAAGGGTTATTTTTAGATGAAAAAAATTATAATACCTTAATTTTTTTATTTTTTAAAACTTGTCAACTCACGAATAGTTTTTTACTAAATACAAATTGATACTTGTTAACTATTGAATGATTAATTGTTAGAACATGATCTATACTTATCTTTTTATAGTTCAATTTTATCATATTTTTAAACTTATCAATTAATTAATGACTTTTTATCAAATGAAAATGAATACTTATTAATTATTAAATGATTATTTGATGAAACATGATTTACAATTATTCCTTCATACAACCAAACTCTTTTTAAATTATTGAACTTGTTAATTAGCAAATAATTTCTTATTAAATATGAATAGGTATTTATTAAAACATGATCTACACTTTCTTTCCCAATTATACAACCAAACTCTTTTAGATTCTTGAACTCGTCAATTAACAAATAATTTCTTATTAAACATAATCTACACTTGTCTCTTTTCATAATTAAATTATTTTAAATTTTTAAACTTATTAATTAATGAATGACTTGTTATCAAATATAAATAAATACATGATAATTAATAAATGATTTTTTATCAATTAAAAAAGAAATATAGAGTTATTATGATTCTTCTATATTTAAAATTATTTTTAAATCAATGCCATCATGATCTGGGTGATATTTCAAAAATTTTAATTTTTGAATTAGTCCAGTTGTGATATTTCAAAGTGTTGTCTAATACTTTTCCTGCATAAAACACCAAAATATTGTGGGTATGCTTGGATACTTTTTTAAAATTAATTCTAGAGTAAAAATTATGATTTTAAAAAATTGTATTCAAACCTCCCAATTTTTTAAACTTCATTTAAGATAAGTTAAAATTTATTTTATTTTAAAAAATTAATTATAAACATTATTAACATGTCATTTTAAATAGTAGAATTACTCATTTAAAATTAATTTTAAAAAAAATATCCAAATACCATTAATTTTATCATAATTAATTTTTAAAAAATTTATCTAAATATCATTATATTCTAATAATAATTTTTTTATAATTAAATTTTTTAATTAAAATCCAAACACACCTTTGTGAATCACCAAACCTGCGTTCCAAATATGGATATTATTGAATATTGATCATCTAATCCCAACCGAGAACCCTTCTCCTTTTAGGAAGCCTCTCTGATCACTCTTCTCTCCTCCTCCGTTCCCACTTCCCAATTCTATCATGGAGCCTCTCTGCTTCCTCTCCTCCTGCTTCACCCTCTTCCTCGTCTCCTCTCTCCTCCTCCACATTCCGTCTGGTAATTCATTTAACTTTCTAAATCTCTCTCCCCTTCTCGCTTCTTCTTTGCTCTTTTATTTAACATTTTCTCCATCTTTTCTTCTTCAGCAGTTCACGCTACCACTTTCACATTCGTCAACCGATGTCACTACACCGTCTGGCCCGGAATCCTCGCTAATGCCGGCAGTGGAAGCCTCGACACTACCGGATTTGAGCTCCCCACGGATGCTTCCCGCTCTTTCCTTGCTCCCACTGGCTGGTCCGGCCGCTTCTGGGCAAGAACCGGTTGTCACTTCGACGGATCCGGCACCTGTGTCACGGGAGACTGTGGCTCCGGCGAGCTCGAGTGCAACGGCGCTGGCGCATCGCCGCCCGTCACTCTCGCCGAGTTCACGCTCAGTAGTAGCACTGGAGGGCAAGATTTTTACGACGTCAGTCTTGTGGATGGGTACAATGTTCCGATGATCGTGGAAGGGTCGGGCGGGTCGGGTCTGTGTGCTTCTACCGGGTGCGTTTCCGATCTGAACCGGCAGTGCCCGGAGGAGCTCAGAGCGGGGGAGGGAGATGCGTGTAAGAGCGCGTGTGAGGCATTCAACAGCCCCGAGTACTGTTGCAGCGGCGCATATAGCTCGCCGGCGACGTGCAGGCCGTCCGTGTACTCGGCAATGTTCAAGTCGGCTTGCCCGAGATCGTATAGTTACGCCTACGACGACGCTACGAGTACGTTTACTTGTACGGGTGCAGACTATACGGTGACGTTTTGTCCATCCTCTCCAAGGTAAAGGAGCGAGCATGCTTTTTCTTTTTATTGCTACGGTACACAAACATTGACTGACCCTCTTTTCTTTATCCGGCACTCACGTCTGCTCCTGAAGCATCCAAACTAGAATTAGAATATATGCCTTAACCTTTCCATAAAAAATAAAACATACGAAATACATGTAATATTCAAAAAAGTTTAATATGTTCATAAATATTCTCTTCAACTTGCACCTTTCTATTGAGTGAATCTTGTTTTAATTTTAAATTGCATTAAAGTATTAAATTTGGATATAAGTCTTTGTGGGAAAATACAACCTTATAATTTTATCAAGTTTTGCACCTAGTTTTTATAATTTTTTGCAGCATTTTTAATCCCTATAATTTCAACAAGATTTTGTGATTTTTGTTACTAAAACTTTTACAAAAACATTGAAAAAAATATAAAAACTAAATCAAAATTCAACAAAATTATAAAGATCCGTGATCGTGTTTTCATTTTCTTTTTATTCAGCCGCTCACATAAAAATTTTATTGGATTTTTTTTTTAAATTTTTTTAGAAATGTAATTTCTTATTTTTTTTTTAATTATAAAAATGATATGCTGGGCATATCTTTGTTGATAGCATAATTTATTAATTAATAACTTTAGAGAACCCTCAAAGACTGGTGTTCGTAAATCTGTGGTACATACTTTGCATGAAGAGAATTGCGTCATAATCGAATTAGCATTAATCAACGCATTTGATACATGAGATGCCACGCTACAAACCAGTGCCTGACTTCAGTAGCAAGAACATTCCGTTATAGCTGCACGTAGGCAAGATATTATTGGAGTATAATTTTTCTATGATCTTGACAGCGTACAATACTTATAAGAATATTAAAATCCCATTACGAGGTGGCATTTCCATTGTATAGGGCCATGGAATAACTTTTGAATGCTTTGGCTATAAATTATTGGTTGGTTTAGAATAGATGTGTCTTAACAATGGTTGGTGGATTTGCCTTTAATCATAGATCTCACTCACTCACCGCCACTTATCACCAACACAAATGAGCCAATAAGTTGTAATTACTTCAGCTAATGAATCTCTCTCTGATTTTGGCAGTCAGAAATCTTCGCAAGATTATTCCCCTCCCATGATGACCTCAACACCAACGCCACCATACTCACAAGGATCAGGATTTGGAGCAACCTCCACTGTCACCGGAGTAACCATGGGCTCCGGCTCTGATTTCGGCTCCGACCCCAAGTTGGCCTCGGAGTCGGGCTCAAACTCGGACCCGACTATTGGGTATACGGTTACGGGTTCAGGGTCAAGTGGAGAGGCCATGCTGGCAGATAGCTCATATATTGCTGGCTTGGCCATGGGAGCTTCGCCCACCACACTCCCTTTATCGTCTCTACAATCTGCCTTCGTCTTCATTTATAGCATTTTGCTTAGTTTCTTCCTCGTCTAGCTCACCAATTCTCGTTATTAAACCGACCATTTCAGGATAAGTGTGCTTATTTATGATTAGTTTGATACCTTTATCATCGATAAACTGAGTCTACTCTTTTGGTCAAAAAAAAAAAAAAACTGAGTCCACTTTGTGATCTTTCATTTTTGGTGTACATTGTAATGCATGATTTATTTTTGTGGGGGGGCCACAAGGAGCATATATGCAATTTTTAGCCGCCCTGATTTGCTGGTCAGTCACATGAATAAGAGGGTGGAAGAAAGTTACTTGAAACAGGCACTGTAGACTCAGCTGGTGTTTCTGTTGTCAGTGGCAGTGTACACTTTGCAAACTTCACTAGTTATCTGCTTGGCTTTATCTTTCTATTTTTCATCGCCTGAGATGAAAAATTTAGATGAATTTGCGGTGAGAAAACATAAAGATTAAAGATAAAATTTTTATAACTATCATACACATGGATTAACTGGCAAGAGAATTATACTAACTTAATATGATATACATAGATTAACAAGAGAATTATACTAAATTAGAGATTTTGAGTTCAAATCTTCAAAATATATGCAGCAACATTTGATGATAGAACTTTTTATTAAAAAGAACTTGACTCATTTCCACTGGATCCAAATTAGTTGAAGCGTTCTTTATCAAAAAAAAAAAAAATAGTTGAAGCGTTTAAAGGTATCTAATGATTGCAATAATAAGAAGATTATGAGGGATGGGCCAAACCGCCAAAGCAAAAGATGTAGATGTTCCAATATGCCATTCTAATCTCAGTAAGACCATTAAATTAAAGTGAAATATAAAATAATGTGAGTATGGTCGGAAGTTGTAAATATTCTGGACTGTCATGTTTGGGGCCGGCTTTCTTTTATCAAGGGTAATTTTCAAAAAAGAAAGGATCATGTCTGAGGCGGAGAGGGCCTACCACTAAGGAATCTCTCTATATCAGAATTATACATTCACGAATCCTTTTGACAATTATCCAACTTTTCTTTTTTACCAAATAAAAAATAAAATTAAGCTTCAACAAAGTCTTTTCCACTTTTTGTTAACTGAAATTTTCAAGACAATAACTATAAGGTATTTGTAAAAATCGTTTTAAAAGCCTCAATCACACAATATCGAACCATAAAATATACCAAAATGAGTGTTGTTGGGCATCCTATCTTGTTTGCTGAAAAAGTCACATGAAGTGCAATGATCAAGCCACAAAAACTGTCACATGTTCTCATGTGGTTGATTCTCTCCAATTTTTTTTTAAAGTTAAGAGTTATTTTTATCTTTTAACTTTATTTAAAAAAGTTATTAGACACCCTAAAATTAATAATAAATCAATTCTCTCTCTTTCAACATTAAAAATTTCCTTCCTTATCATCCTACTGTGTGTTTACCTTTAGTTGGCCCTACATTGAATCCTTTTAATTTTTTTTATCGGATAAAAGAGCAAATTAGCTCATAGACTATAGTCCATGAGTGTCTAAAATTTTAAACTCTTTTTTTATACAAGGTTCCTCTTCAACTTTTAAAAATGATGCGATTCAGATCCTGTTATTAATGAAAGTTAACTTTAATCGTTAGTTGACCAAAAAAATAATAAAAAAAGACTTCAAAAATTATAGAAGAGGGCCAATAAAATTTTCTTGGTCCTTTTCTGTAATTTTTGATGTCCTTTTATGTCATTTTTATCTTTTATTGTAATTTTATTGTCTTTTTTTATGATTTTTGAAATTCTTTTTTGTCATTTCATGATTAATTAACAGTTAAAATTAACTATTGTTAATGAGAGGTACTAAATTATACCAAGGAAAATATTGCACAAAAATGAGTTTAGGGTCCTAAGCGCTACTGAACCTATAGTTTAGAAACTAATTTTCTCTTTTATCCTTTTTTATTATAAAATATTAAGTTAAAGATCTTTTTTTGTCTTTAATTTTACTCAAAAGGGTCAGACAAATATTTTTATAATAAAAAATATTAAAAAAATAAAATGTGAGGCTCACTAATGGTGAATGGTGGTGAGTTAACGGTAGGGTAATGAGAGAGAGAATTTTTAACTTTAAAAGATATAATTAACCCATAGTTGAGTTTAAAGTGCTCAATGACCCTTCGAGTAAAGTTGAGGGGCAAAAATAATCATTAATCCTTTTTAAACAATTGTTAGAGATTATGATTCAAATCCTTATAATTTTTTGTGATTGTTTTTATATATTATGTTGGCCTAAAATTTATCATATATTTGTTATATTTATAATTGAGATTTTAAGAGGTATTACTGGTTAGCCAAATTAACATTTTTAGTTGATGAAAAAAATTATATATACTTGGTCTCTTTTGTAACATTTCAAATTTTAATGCTTAAATTACTAAAGAATTAATTAAGTTCAATTATAGTAATTGAGTAATTTTATGTGGTGTGTGGCTAAAAAGGTCAAGTGAATGTAATCAGTTGTGATTTCAACCCAAATTATGGGTCCGGAATAAAGACAGGCCACCCAAGCATCAAAGAAGGAGAAAAACATGAAGGATTGTCTCTATGCCACATGTCGCGGCATGTCGCACATTTGCTGCAATGCACAAATTATAACTGAAGGAAAATGAACTCTTTTGACATGTGCTGTAGCACATGGCCCTTTTTCTATAGAATTTAATCGTGAGTTGAGACAGAAATTAGAAGAGGAAAAAGAAGGAGCTTGTTCTTGCTTTGCTAGGGTTTTTCATATTGGTAATTTGTGAGTTTGGTGTTAGAAAACACTAAGGTAAGTGTCCTATACCCTAATCTTTTTTTCCCTTGTATTTTTATGAAGTTTTTGGTTAAGGTTTGATAATAGGAGAAAATTTTCAGTCCATATAAATTATGGGTCTAAATCCATTAACTTAAATGAAGTTAATGGTTGTTTAGAGTATTTAAATCTAGAGATTATGAGTTTTGACACTTTTGATTGGTGAATGTCATTAATGTTCGAAAATGGACATTTAATTTGAAATTTTGGAGGTAGTTGCGGCATTTATGACAATATGGACACTTAATGAAGCTATATAATGCTAAGGATGGTTAATGCACTAAAAAGGTAAGCCCAAAGGTGAGAAATAAGGGTGTTGGGTATCGTGGAAGTGAAAGTATGAAAGGTGAAAATGTATTATTGATAATGTTAAAGAGCTTAAAATTATTTAAATTGTAGATTGAGTGTTCAGGCACCATATTTGGCTTGGAAATCAAGCTTAGAAGTTAGTTATTGAGAGGTAAACCTTTGACCTCTCAAAAGTTTAAAGTAACTGAGGAAACCTTACTTTGAATAGTTGTTTGTTAATTGAATGTTAATTGTAAAATGTGCATATTAACATGTATGATTTAATTGTGAATGTGAAGTATGTCATGAGCATTGATGATTGGTTGAATTGTGAATATGCAATATTTTATTTGAACTTGAAATGTATAATTGATGTCAAAGTGATTTGAAAAACTATGATTATATGCATATTTTGGAATGAGAAATGTGATTATATGTGATATGGTAATTATGTGTGGAAGAAGAAATTAGTGAATTGGAGTTCAAAAAAAAGTAGAATGTTGTGAAAATAATGATTAATACTCACTTAAGTAGCGTATTATTATAAGCCCAATGTGCTGATATTAAAATAATAGAATGGTGAATTTAGTGAGCATCATACATTACGTGATCAGTTGGTGGGAGTTCACCTGAGGAGAGGAGTAGTTAAAATTCATATAGTATTTTTAGCTGCCTTCTGGTGCACGAGAGTATGGCCTTGTCCCATAGTGTATTGAGGGACTGTCCCATAGTTTGTCGAGAGACTAGAACCTAATTATCTCTACTAGTTTATTGAGATGGCTAGCTCAAGGTATACATACCTTAGAGATTCGAGAGCGATAAAAGCCATGGTCCAAGAGTGAGTCCTGTGATCTTTAGCTTGGTCACATCTTACAATTAGTGAGCTTGGACAGTTTAGTCACACGAACAAAGCCCTTTTTGATGTCATAATCCACGATTAGAGAATAAGGAGGGTATAAGGATGGTTTAATCATGCACATATGTTTCTATGATATGTCACATAATTGTTTTAGTTTGTGGCAAGTCATGTTAATAAATTGGGTCATTATGACATGTCTATATATCTTATGGCAATATACCATGTGATTGAGATAAAAATGATGTGAGAATTATGAGAATGATAGTTGAGAAATAATAATTTGTGTTACATGTGTTTGTATATAATTTGAGAAAATCAACTCTAATTTTATGTTTTTATTTAATTGATATGCAACTATATAGGATAAATTTTACCTTCGTTACTAAGTGACTAGATTCACCCCTCTATTTTAAAATTTTACAAGCTTTAACTCTAGTGCAGAGAGAGAAAAGGCTCCGAAGGCTTAGGAATCTGAGCATTTCTATTGTAATGCCTCTTTAATTCATTTATTTTGTGTAATATTTTGAATATTTCTAACTAGAATGCATTCTGTTTTACACTTGCACTATATAATTGTTTGGGATGTCTAGAATGTATTTTGAGCCTTAAGATATTGTTTATAATAAGTCATAAATATTAATAGGGCCAAAATATTATTGCAAGTGTAGTAAGGTTGTTTTAAACATGATATGGATGATTTTTAATGAAACACAATGCTAAAACCTCTCATTTCTGTTTTTGATATTAAAAGAGTTGATGAATAAAAATTTAATATAGTGGTGTATATGTGCATGTGATGTATTGTACAGTTAGTCCCTAGGTCTAATGAGTATGGTCTAAGTGTTAGGAATGATATTTGGCACATGTATGAAATTTTAGACACCCCTTTGTTTATGAAAAGTGAGAAAAGTTGTGAAACTGTATTTGAGTATTCAACTTTCTTGTGTGACTTAATTTGAAAGTAAGATCCACATCATTAGCTAGTTTATGAAAAGAGCTTTTCATAAACATTTAAATCATTTTATTCTGATAGAGAAACAAGGTATGCTGAAAGTTGCCTAGATCTGTTGTAAAATGATAGCATAATTATTGTCATGAATGTGCAACACATCGTGACGCGTGGCACAGAAAGTGACAAGCTGTGGCGCATTACTTTGTTTTTAACAACTTGAGATTTTTTAACTGTTTTCAACTCCTTTAACTACTCTGAGGTATCTCATATTTCTATAACATTATTTTACTTTGATTAAAAGTTGATAAATGGTTTCTAAAATATTTTAAACTATGAAAACTTAAGATCTCATTTCTATAAATTACAAACTGGATAATCTCTTTATAAGTTAATC